CCGTCTGTTAGAATGTGACAAGTTGGGGGCAAGAGGTAACAGAATTCCCTCTCTCTCTTCACTTTCCAGATTGTGGACCTGGACACCAAACGGAATCAGAACCGGGAGGCCCTGAGGGCCCTGCAGAAGGACCTCAGCCCTTCTAGTAAGTCATGATTTCCTTGCTGTAGCCCTGGAGGCCCCTTCGCCTTGTCCCCGCTAGACGCTGGGAAGGAGGCCACAGGTGCGATGCTGTCAGCCTGCAGGGAATGAAGACAGCCTGTGGGCATGGAGGCCAACATGTTGCAGGGCCTTAAACAGGCTGTGGCTTAGGATCCTGCCTGCAGGCCTCAGTGGGAGACCTTTAGCTCATTGGTGGTGCAGCAGGAGACACTGAAGGAGGTGCTGGAGTGTATAAAAATGACGTGGGTTCTGCCCTTCTGTGCTAGCAGATGAATGAAACAACAGAATAATTGAAAATATTCAGGAGGAGGGGAAGGGCACTACTTAGAAGGGGTTGAGGGGCTGGGGTAGAGAAACCAGGATGAGGGGAGACAGATCCTTCCCTCTTCCTTGACTTTATCTCTACACTTGTCAGGCTTTGACACACACTGTGACATGTTTATTTTCCCTCCTGCACTTTAACATAAGCTTGATGAGGGCAGGAACTTTGTCTTGTTCTGCTGTGTTCTCAGCATCTAAACGTCTGGCAGACAGTAGGTGCTTAGAAAATATGTGATGAAGGATTGACCGTTTCTTATTGTAGATGATGTGATGGTTTGCTTCGGAAGCATGTTCATCAAGATGCCTCACCCTCAGACGAAGGAAATGATTGAGAAAGGTAAGGGATTGGCCAGGGGTCCAGCTGCCTCCTGTCCCTCGTAAGGCCTTAGCCTGAAGCTGGTGAGGGAGGTGTTACCAGGTCAGACGGGCAGCTCTGCCACTCTGAATTACTTCTTTTTTTTCTTTTTTCCCTTCTGATTTACTTCCTCATCCCCAGACCAGACCCTGAACCCCACCCACTGCTGTCCGGTCCCTTCTGACTCTTGGACACAGTTGAACTCCCTTAGGTGTTCCAAGGCCATACTTGCCCTTTAGTGTTATGTAATGTTACCCTCCATGGAAATAATTGAACTAACCCCTGCTCACATCTTGGCCACGGTCACTTCCGCTTGCTGCACATGCAGCTTTTGAATCCGTTTCTGGCCACTTTCTCCCACATGGTGGCTGACGAGTTCAGACCTCGGACTGTTGGGCTAGCAGCCAAGCACTTTAACCTCTGTGCTACCAGAGTTTCTTTTCTTGCACTAAACCCCCAGAACCCCCACCCATCAAGCCGATTCCAAGCGACTGTGGCCCTGCAGACCGAATGGAATGGCCCCTTCCCATTTCCACGGCTATAAATCTGGATCTGGATGGGAAGTCTCCTCCTATGGAGTTAACTGCCTCTGAAAACTTGCCAGAGGGTCATCTGTGGGTTAATGATTTACAACAACAACAACACAATCTGGATCGAAGCAAACAGGCCCCTCTGTCTCCCCTGGAGCAGCTGGTGGGTTTAAACTGCCTGCCTTGTTCATAGCAGCTAATTGCTTAAACCATGGCACCACCAGAGCTCTTTTCTGCACTAATCCCAGAACCAAACCCACTGCCTTCAGATTGATTCCGACCCAGTGGTGACCCTCCGTGAGGTTTACGCAGCAGTTAATCTTTACAGTAGGGGACTGCCCATCCTTCTCCCTTGGAGAAGCTGGTGCATGCAAACCATCAGCCTGTCAGCAGCACAGTGCATAACACACTACACCACCAGGGCTCTTCCTTGCACTGAAGCCCCAGACCCCAGACCTGCTGCCACAGAGCTGGTTCTGACCCTCCATTAGGTTTCAAAGGTAAAGATCCTTAACAGTCGGCAGTAGACAGGCTGGTGGATTCGAGCTGCAGACCTTTTGCTTAACAGCTCAGTACATTGCACACTGTGGGCTCCTTGTGTGCTCTGACTCACTCACTCGTTACCATTGAACTGGCCTTCCCCTGGGATTCCAGTGCCGTGAATCTCAGGGGAGGTTATCCATCTTTTTCCTTCAGAACTGCTGGTGGATTCAAACCACCTGAGAGGCCTGTCCTGTCCATCAGCAGCACAGCTCTTCCACCACCAGAGCTGCCTGCTAGCAAGAACGTTCGGCTAAATAAGAACTTACGTAACTGTTCTGACTTAACTACAGATTCAACTTAAAGACACCTAGGAACTGATCTTGTTTATAACCCAGGGATTGTACTCAGATCTCCACCTATGACTGTAGAAGCTCTTTGAAGAAGCAAAGAGTTTAGAGACAAAAAGTTGGGCTGTGAATGGCCCATTGGCTGGAAAAAGGGAAAATTGAGCATATTTTATTCTCCTTGAAAATGTGTGGGTCAAGAGGATCAGCAAGGCAGCTTTGGTCCTAGGAGCCTGGGTGCCTCCACACCTTTGAATATTCTAGCAGAACATTCAGCCCCGAGGAGAGGCTTCAGCTGTTCTCTTGCCTTCACCATACCCAGAGGGGTTCTAGGGTTAAACAAGCATGGGAAGCCAGGATTACCCATTTACCTGAGAAATAGAACCATCACCCAGGCCAGAAGGCCTGGCTAGTCAGGGTTTCTCCCCATTAGAAAGAACGAACGTCTGTGGTGCAGACAGACGTATGGGTCAGAATGCCCTTCACAGATGCGGGCAGAAATGTTGGGAGTCTTGTCCGTGGCATCATCGTGCTTCGAGAGATTTTTCTGTTAGCATCGCTCCCTTGGAATGCAGTTGTCTTCAGGCAAGAGTTCATTACATTCATGGTGACTTTCTCTCCTTCAGTTAATTAGGTGCAGCTTGAGCACATTAGGCTCAAATTACACCATGTAATTTTCTAAAACCCCATCACCTTGGTGAGCTTGGGGTTTGCAGCCTCTCCAGTCTCCATTTACTGACCATTCCTTAGGGCCGAGCCGGTCTGGGGGTCCTTGCCTGGCTTTGCTCTTTGGTTAGCAGTGCAGCCTGCTGTGGACGGTGGCGTCAGAGCTTCCTCTCTGGATTGGTTCTTCAGAGTGGTATTTCTGTGCGTCCTCATGGGAAGAGGACCTAAAGTCTGTCTGTGGTATGAGCTCATACTTTGCGTCCTTACCTCATCTTTCCAGATCAGGCTCATCTGGATGGAGAAATCGAGAAACTTCGGAAGCAACTTAAAGTCAAGCTCAGCCGCCTCTATGAGGCCCAAGGTATTGGCCTGGGGTGCTAGAATCTGGGAGAGGAACTAACTGTCCACAGGGAGGGGGAGCCCTTCAGAGCTGAGTACTGACCTGAGCACATGTGATAGCCACTGAAGGGGTGAGCAGTGGACACGAGATGGGGGTGGACACAGAGGTTGTGGGGTCTGACTCCTGGCACGGAATTGTCCTCTGGCACAACCTCATAGTACATGACCAGGGCTTGGTGTGGGGAATGAAACTGGGGGACAGGAATACAAAAGGCCCAAGTAGGGGGGGGAGGTCGGGGTAACTTTCTGCTTAAACACAAGCCCTGCAGTTTGATCCCAGGCCTGGCAAAAATGCTAGAACCTTCTGGGCAGCTGACTCATGAATCTGCAGGTTCTTCCTGACCAGGGAGTTGTGCTGACGCTCGGCGTCCAGTGCATTCATTGAGAAATCGGAGGCTTGAGCTCAGACCTCAAGGCCAAGGGCTCGTGATGGCCCTGCAGTGTGAGCCCCTTCCTGGGCCCAGCTCCAGAGCCGGCAGCGGGCCTGACGGCAGGAGACGCAGGTTCCTGATGGATTGTCTTCTTCTAACAGGCAGACCGGAGCTGAAGGGCTTTAACCTGAACCCCCTCAACCAGGATGAGCTCAAAGCTGTCAAGATCATCTTGAGAGGATGAAGCTCAAGAACCGAGATGGGGGACCCAAAACCAGCATCCCCCTTGGGTCATGGAAGACCCAGGCCCCTCCAGCCTTGGAGCCTGCAGAGACAGGCTCTCTCCTGGGAGGGGGCCCGGTGTCTGGCTGTGGCCCCTGTGTGAAATCTCCGTCATTGGCTGCTCTGGGAAGGCGTGTGGGAACCTTGGCCTGTAGTGTCTGACACAGGACCCTTTGACAGGCCTGGCCGTCCCGGTGGGCGGTGGGTTATGTGAGAATGACTGCAGCAGGCACTTCTCAACAATGGCCTGTGTTCACATGCGCTCTGGGGAGGCTGGGAGCAGTGAGAGCATCATTCCAGCATTTCTGAGACATGTTCAAGCAACTCGAGTGAAGGAAAGGAATACAACAGTGAGGCCCCAAGGTGGTCTGCGTGGAGACGAAGATCTGGTGCTCCCTGGTTCACCATGTCCATGAAGCCGACATCTCTGGCCGCCTGCCTGCCTTCACTCCTACTTTCCTCCTTGGTTTCAGGATGGAGCCTGGACTAGGTGTTGTTTACCAACCCTCTTGCTGCTCTCTGGTCACAAGCACCTTGCAGAGCCCTGTGGTAGGACTGGACTAGCAGGGCTGCCTGTGACTCAGTGCCCACAGATGGCACGGATGCCCTCCTCCACCGCTGAGAGTCAGGCCAGCCGGGCAGCCCCGCTCAGGGCTCCC